TTATCTCTCTCTCTCTCTCTCTCTCTCTCTCTCTCTCAATCTCGATTCACGTGTTACCGATGAAACTCGCAAATTAACGTTGATCCGGTCTCCTGCTAAAAAGTCTTAATACTTATCTAAATCAACCGTCGATACAAGTCTCGTTGTCGTGTAATATGGAAGACTCGTGACCGACCGATGATTCACGATGATCAGCGAGCGAAAAGATGCTGGCTGGTTCGTGTCATTGTCGGGGGTTCAACGTTCAATTCGTGCAAGGACGCGAGCTTCGCTTCCAAGACACGAGTTCACGAGCGCGCGGAAAAGTCAAAGAGAGGCGGCTGTTATCGGGAAGCGGTTGAACCGGCTTACGAAAAAATCGGAAAGGTCCTTGGAACCTACACGTGCGGCATATTATTACGCTGTTTCCATCTCCATCTTCTCTTGAACCGACAATAATTAAGCGCCGGATTCTAAAATTAACAACGATATCTTCGCGCTAGGTTAATCTTTTCTCGAAACGAGAAGAGCTATCTGAGGTTAATTTCGAAAAGCACCGTAATTACACCGCGAGACGAACTCCCCTAAAAATTACTTTTTTTTTTTTTTTAGACTAAATTATTATGGGAAATCATTTCTTAATTCGATTCGACGACTGCCTACAAACTTGTCTACAAAAAAAAAAAAAAAAAGAAAAGGATTCAGCAATTACAAATACACGCGAACGTTAATCTTGCAGCGTGTAATTTTCACGCGCGTGTACGTACGCGTATATATGCGCGCCACAGCAAATCGAAGCGCCAGCTTGTTGGTTATCCACTCGCGATTACGAGAGTCTGAGATGGTAATTAAGATGGTTGCATCAGCAACGATGAACATAGGGCAACCCCTCGACTAAACTCGCCTCGATAACACGTCTCCTCCCGATAACTCTCACGAGGGATACACGAGGCACCCGTGTAATGCAATTCACCAGCTTCTCTCACCGTACTTTCCTACTTGTATACGCGCGGGGAGGGAATGTAATTTTACATCGATCGGTGTACGCACTTATTCCGCTCGAGTGACGATTTGACTCGGTAATAATCGCGCGCCGAGTAAATTACGCAACGGGGTAGAACTCGGCACGATCGTTGAGTAAGAGACGAGGTGAAGGTGAGCAGTTAGCGGCGAGAGTAGCGGCCGCCACGGAGCAAACTGCAGCTGATCGACGATCGGCTACCGACCGCGGTGTCCCATCTCGATCACCGATTTCCCACCTTTCTCTCTCCTCGTGTCGTGGAAAAAACGCGCTTCCTCTGCGTACGTACGCAAAAGCGCCGTAAAAACGTTTCTTCTTTCGTCATCTTTCGAACCGTTCGAAGTAGCGGTACGAGCTGATCCAGAGCGTCGTGTCTTTGACGACAACGCGCGGGAATTGTCTCGGTTGAGATTCATAGATGTACGACGGAGGGAGTCGAAGCAGAGATGCAACGAGCATGACGCAATAACGAATCGAAGTTTTACGGGACATTTTTCGCATTTTCTTCTTGCCGTGAAATAAAAATAAAGAAAAGTAATAATTGAACGTTATCGATATCTGGAAAAGGTAGCCGGATCAGGGAATACCTGGAGATCCGTGTCGAAATCTCGCTGACTCGTCACACCGGACTCGTACATACAAGCGTGCCCACTCGGTGGAACGTGTAGGCACGAGTGGGCCTGATAAAAGTAGGTGTGCGGGTATGCATGTAGGGGGTTTTACGAGGAAACGGACAAGAGCCGTAACCTACTTCTTCTACGGGAGCGGGGTAAATCGTCGCGGGGCCGGGTGTTTCTTGGAATTTGTGTAGTCATCAGTTACAGAAAAGTGTCCTTCCCAACCGTCCCAAATCTTCCATCGCCTTGATATCCGTCCACTCAGCGATTATAACAGCGAATTAATTACAACAACTCGTCAAGTTTACTTTTATCCAGTTTCGCTCTAATATTCGTGTCGCGTCCCTTTTGCCCGAGTAATACCCTGCTTCGTCCGTTTAAAAATAGGATGGATATGTATCGGATCAAATTCATCCTTTCTCGCCATATATAATTTTTATTATCGCGACAAAGATTCACACGAGTTATCATCGTTGAATTTTGTCGTCAAATTCGCGGGCGCATAGGAGGAATGGGGCCTCGTTTTCTTTTCTTTTTTTTTTTTTTTACGCGATACTTGATCGGAGAACGTAGTAATTAGACGAGGAGATTTCATCATCGAGCGCCTCCGAGAAATCCAGCACGCGCCATTGACGTCGAAATCCTGATAACCGAAACGTGGAATAAGTTGGTTCGCATAATGAAGATGGACGGGATGCAGGCGGGACGTAGAGAGGAGAGGATATGCGCGAAGAACGTTCCGAGTGGAAAACAACAATAAAACAACGATCCAGGGGACCCCCTGCGACGGATATCGCGATACTAT